CCGAGACAAGAGTTCCGTTTTCCGCGCTATACGTGACCGGCTTCGACGAGAACCAGGGGGTCGGCTTTGCTCGCCTCCGTCGGGCGCTCCCGACAGTCGAAGTCATGCCGTATAGCGACGCTAAGCAGAAAGTGCATACATCGGAGCGACGTATCGCTGCTCGCGTTTCGACGCGTCGCGCGACATAGTGACACACGTGCTAGCGGTGTAAGCCCGCGTCCCGCGCACCCCGCGTCACCGAGCGATTCACGCGACCACGATTCGCGCTGCGAATCGTGCCCGCCGCACACACACATACGCGTTGCACATACACACCGCACACTCACACCGACACGCATTGTATACTCACACACACACCGCCGTCAGCAAATGCCAGCCGCGACAACTTGTATCAACACGCACACACACATACACATACATCCACTCTGTATTTCAATAAGAGAATATACTCTCATTTTATTACGAAAATCCGTGTCGACCACATTCTTACCGCCTTGCATCTCTCTCCTCCTTGCCTCCTAACCTCTTTGCGACCCTGGCCGCAGCCCGTGACCAACGAGCTACGTCCGCGGGATCCGTGAATTTATTGTATTTATTGCTTTTTGAATTAGAAAAAATCTTAATTTTTATTCTTTTGTCTTTTATATTAAGCAACAATATCAAGAGTGTATAGGGCACATAAGAGTCAAATATAAAGAGAAAATTACTTAAAAACTCAAACCAGAAGTATATTTAAGATAATAATAATATTCTGTTAATAATTAAAAGTTCTATATATTTCATTACATGTTTTGGTCTTACGATTGACTTTGATTAAGACAATATAAAAATTTTAGACGAAGAACATTGTTATAATAAGCGCTTAATCTCAGAAATGTTAAACATTAAAAAACAAAGAAACAGTCTAAATCTACAAACAAATACTGAAGGCCTACATAAAGCTTACATACCACTAATAAACAAAATCTGACATTGCAATACCAACATGATTTTATTATTCGTCAGTCAGTGTTCGTTTGTTGAGAAAGTAACATACATGTTTAACACGGGTCTCTTTTTTAACATTTTGTAATATTTTTTAGTATATGAATTTTTATCTCTATACAATGTTAATTTTATATTGTGTGTGTGACAAAATTTTCCACTGCGATATTAGTATTTGTTTCGTCACAAACTAACACACTGACGTTGAAGGATTTAATAATTGACGTGCTTCTTCTCGACATGCGAAATTTAACTATATGGCCAGTTAGGTGAGTTATTTTACTAGAGTGACGCTTTTGCTCGAATTCTTTTTCGTTTTCTTAATTAATATCTATCTTGACTTTTCACCAGAACATCAGGAAATTCTAAACAACCGGTCGTCCAACCGTTTTGCGAGTAATTTCCATCTCTCTACAAAATCATCTCTCTGGTCTTCATTAACATGTTCATATTTTTATCTATTTCTTCGACTGCGTTTAACCAATTGATAACATCACCTGTTCATATATGTTTGGACTAAATTCAATAAAAACTCAGTGCCTTAGTCTGTTCAAATTTTCATAGCATTTTTAGAAGCATATAAATCGTTATGTTAAATTCTTGTGCTTATTGTCGAATTAATTTCAACGCTTATTTCGGTCGACAGCTATTATGTTCAAAATACGCTTATTCTCGGTACCGACGCGATCAGAATTCGAGACAGTGTCTACCTATCAGCTGTTTACTTGGCGTCACATACAGGGTGTTTGAAAATTATCGGCTAATCGATCACGAGCAGGTAGAACGGACCGAATTGAATCGAAAAATCTTATACCGTTTTGTAGGTTGCGCAATAGTTAACGAGATATTAACGTTTAAAGATAGCCGAATAAGCGCGTCCGGCCGGTCTACTGCTGCCGAATATACAACCTAGCGTCCCCACCGATCGCATGGTACGCGGGCCGCTGGGAGTGGGAACTGCCATGATAAAAAGACAAGGGTATGCTCATGCGCATGACCAATCAGATTTTTGTCCTTGCTTACGTCACAACGAGTGGCTTACGCCACTGTTCAGCAATTTCAGATTGTTTTGGAAAGGTAAAATATTTAATTTTACTTCCCTCAGTTTTTTTTGTTTTTTTCATATAATTGCCGCATCCTTTCACTATGCAGGTCATCGTGAAAATATTTTTAACATTAACTTCTACCGATGACAACGTGCACTACGCCATGGACGCCATGATAAATTACGACCGATAACCACCGATTGCACCCGAATCAGAACCGACCAATCAACGCGTACCCGAATATGACGTAAGCAAGGACATGCACAAGCTGAACGAGTTTTAGACAATTGATGAGCATACCCTTGTACTTTTATCATGGGAACTGCCACTAAACGTCTTCAAACGATTCAAACGGCACGCCTAGCAGGCCATCCCCACTCCCAGCGGCCCGCGCACCATGCGATCGGTGGGGACGGTAGGTTGTATATTCGGCAGCAGTAGACCGGCCGGACGCGCTTATTCGGCTATCTTTAAACGTTAATATCTCGTTAACTATTGCACAACTTACAAAATGGTATAAGATTTTAATCGATTCAATTCGGTCCGTTCTATCTACTCGTGATCGATTAACCGATAATTTTCAAACACCCTATATATGTATACATTCGCAACCTTTCTTTTTTCGCGAAACGAAGGTCACCTCCCGGTACCTGTGTACATCTATCGCTTAACGACCAAGCTCAATTGTTTTCGAATAAAGCTCAGAAGCACATCTCATTTATATCGCTCTAATGCTCAATTTCTTCACTTCCAGATAAGTTGCGGATAACCTTATCCAGGAGATATCCCCATTGTATTCTGGGAGATATTTCTTGGATAAAGTTATCTAGAGGTGAAGAAATTGGGCATAAGTCTCTATTCTTTCAACACCTTCTGACTCTTCGTGATTGTTCGTCATAATTCCAACATCACCAGTGGACCTGGTTTTCCGGTATCATTTTCTTTTTGCAATACTCACAACAATATACGACTATCACATCTGAAGATGGCTCAATTGTGAGGCCGAAACATGTAATGAAATATATATATATATAACTTTTAATTATTTATAGAATATTATATAATATACTTCTGGTTTGAGTTTTTATGTTTTAAATAATTTTCTCTTTATATTTGACTCTTATGTGTCCTGTATACACTTTATATTGTTATTTGAATTAAGATTCCTTTGTTCTTATAATAATTTTTATATTAAATATATTACATTAAATCTATTACACTCACGCGCTTGATCGAAACCTAGCAACATTTTTCTGAGGGCCCTAGATCTCCTTTCCCATAAGGCAAGTTGCTTATTCTCTGTGCTGCCACCGCATCCCGTGAGGTTGTTGTGTTGCGTGGTAAAACTGGCTCTATGGCAAGGTGTTTCCAATAGATTTGTTCCGCCGCTGCCGAAAGTACTGCCACCGAGCTCTTGAACTCTGTGCTCTGCTTCCGAGAGCAATGTTGTCAAGTGGTTTCCCAGAGATTCCGGAGACTTGACTGTATTAATAGAATATCGAACGTATATACAAATTCATAGTTAAATAGTGTGTGAACGTATAAATTATGATTAATTTAAAATACATTTAAAGCATACTTCACATTTTGATCGGAAATCTCCGAACAGAATTTGGTCCTATTCCGATATACTAAAAATCAGGATTAGGTAGTAACTAGTTAAAACATTAAAAGTTAAAAAAAAAAGTTAAAAAGTTAATAACTTTTAACTTAACTTAGTTAATTTTAAATGCATTAATTTTTAACTTAATTTAGTTGCTTTAAACTTTAATTTATTAACTTTTTTAAATAAAAAATTTTTCTATCTCTCTTAATGCTAATATTTTTTTTTCTTTTAAAGTCAGACATTAGAGAATTAATTTAGAAAAAGTTCAATGATTTTATGATGAGAGATCTATGATAAGAGCCACACCATACGCGGTAGCCAGTTTTTATTGATTCGCTAGGTTTTGTCAAATCCCGCTTATATTTAAATCACACTTATAATTTTAAATATCATAAACGTTATATTTCAGCAATATAAATATGAAATAAGCCTTAGATGAAGAATTATTGTAGAATAGTATGCATATCCACTCATTTTCTAAATTTTTACGTATATTTTTTGTAACAAATATCTAGTCGATGTCATAAACATGCATGAGCAATCGTTCCAGAAGTTAAAGAAAGTTAAATACAGGTTAAAGAAAGAGAAATAACGCAAACATATATCCTTCTCTCTCGCAAGATTTTGACAAAAACGCCTTATATATGGTGTGACTCTTATTGTATATAAGTAACTTATATGTGACTATAAAATTAAATTTTCCTAATAATTTATATTTGTAAGTGTTATTTAAAGTAATTTCATTTTAAGAAAAATTAGAACATTCTGATCTCAAAAATAATTTTTTTCAAAATTAACTTTTTTTTAAACATAAGTTAATTCAATCTTAACTTAACTTTTATTAAGTTAATTCTTTATTCCTTCAACTTTTAACTTAATTTTATTAATGTTATAAGCCATTAACCTTAACTTAATATAGTTTAAAAAAAACATTAGCTTACCCAACCCTGTTAAAAATGAAAAAAAACGAAGTAAAAAAAGCTGCTTCCTTACAAATAATGATAACATCTCTGTAATGCACATGTATGTATTTATAATTAATTATAGTATTGCGATTAGAGTGTTGTATAATAATTATTTTGATGTAATATATATATATTATATTATATTAAAAGAACATGTTTATTAATCTTTTTTTAGGTTATATTCCAAAATGTCCTCTCCGAGGAATATTTTACTCGAAATATATAATATACGTAATAAATACTATAAATATATGTATATTAGAGCAAATTCTTCCTTGGTGGAGGACGTTTTGGAATGTAGTCTTAATTAGTTTTCCTAATTTATAATTGTATGAGTTTAGGCCAAGTGGCTGTCGGAATCTTGTATAGCTTTTTCTGATAATCATAGTCGGGTACGTTCGCTGAATAGTAAAAACTCCTTGTTTACTGATTTGGCGACGCACAATGAAAGGCCGTACAGCAATTTGGCTGTACATCCTGATACATCCTCATGTAATTCTTTCTGCTGAAACTGACTCAAGAGTGTTATCCAGAGATATCCGGGAAAACAAACCAATACAGTGAGTAATCGCAATTAAAAAGATGAAATATGTATTTATATTTTTTTATGTAGTCAATGTTTATACCTTACGGCATATCTGCTGTATTAATTTTTCTTATCAAGAGTTCATCAGTTGTGATTGATACGCAAGATTATTGGATTTCAATACCTGCTGAACTGATCAAGTTACAAGTAGTAGGCTCAATCAATATATGTATATGTATCTTTGGTTTCGATTATAAGATAAAAGTGTTTTTTACTTCGGAGAAAAATATTAAATAGAAAACAGCTTTTAATCAAAATGATATAGAATTCATTAAAAAAATGTATAATTCATGTTAAATACACTACTGATCAAAATTATATTTTTCGATTTTTTTAACATAACTTTTGTCAAATTGAATCGAATGGGCTCAAATTTATACAGCAGACACTTGATGGCAGGTGTACCTTGTACGTAAAGCCCAGATAACGTTGGCTAGAGAAATACTCTAGGTAGAACTCTAAAATAGTGTCTAATTTGATCGCAAAATGCGAACTTCAATTTTTTTTTTATGAAGCTTCTTACGATTTTTTTTTCACCGAGTTATTCAACGTCGAAGCAAAAAGGGTCGTTTTTCCTTCAATGTTGAATACAAAAAGCAAATTAGATAATGACTTATGATAAAGTTTTTGCATACAAAAATGATTTGAAGCAGTTCAGAAGTTAGCTTTAAGCTTTAAAATGCTTATTTCAAACATTGCTTTGTAATCATTTTTCGCAGAGATACGTAAACCTTGATTTTGACCTTTTTAAAGCTAATTCTAAATGATCCTTTAACTTCAAGATAGAATGACTTCGTAAAAAATGATCGTAACGAAATTTTAAAAAAAGCAATTTAAAGGTTGAAGTCTTTATTTCTGAAATCGGTAATTGGTATTTCAATCCGGCTGATCTTTTATGGAGCTATACGGACACAAATAAATACCCGTCAAATGTGAAAATTTTGTACAAATTTTACAAATGTCTTTTACGTGAAGTAAAGGTCACACAAAAATGCGATTTACAGTAATCGAAAGTGTGAATCTTCACCTTCAATTTCTTTTTTTATAAAGGTTCATACGGTTAAAAGGTCATTTAGAATTAGCTTTAAAAAGATCAAAATCAAGGTTTACGTATCTCTGCGAAAAATGATTCCAAAGCAATGTTTGAAATAAGCGTTTTAAAGCTTAAAGCTAACTTCTGAATGCTTCAAATCATTTTTGTATGCAACAACTTTATCATAAGTCATTATTTTTAATTTGCTTTTTGTATTCAACATTGAAGTAAAAACGACCCTTTTTGCTTCGATGTTGAATAACTCGGTGAAAAAAAAACGTAAGAAGTTTCATAAAAACAGAAATTGAAGGTGAAGATTCGCTCTTTCGAAAGATATAAATTGCATTTATGTACAATTTTTACTTGGCTCCGTGGAACTTCGCAAATTTCGTAAAAAATTTTTAGAACTGATACATCTTCATCTATGTTTGTGTAACTTTATGAAATACGAGTATTACGGTTTTTTAAAGTACAGGTTTGGAAAGTAGAGATTTCAAGCTTTAAAATGCTTTTTTAAAATCTCGATACGATGATTTTTGACGAAGTTATTCTATCTCGAAATTTGCCTATTTTTGCAGGGTGGAACAAGTGATTGTTTAATTTTGTTGAGTAGTGTAATTATTTGAACGACAAATATTTTATATTTTACTACGATTTTAAAATTTAAATAAGCAATGGCCTATATTGTTGTTAACACAAATGTAATACAGATAATACTTTATTAGCATAATTGACACTATTTTATTGTCCACATTGGTTGTAATTACACGTATTCTAAATTTTAATTACTAAGGCAACGTCCCATAATATATCAATTCGAGAATAGTTGGAGATAGTTCGATGAACAATGTTTCACTAATATATATTTTAGAATACGTATACAATTACAACAAACATACCACAGAAGCAGCGTCAATTATTCTAATAAGGTATTATTTGTCTTAACGATAGTATGGAACACTCACTTAACTTCTAAAATCAGAGTACAGAATAAAATATGGCCCGAATAACTATAAACGGTAGTATTTATAGTTATTCTTACATCTATGATCACTACAATTAGTCATTATTACACAAAAATCTTTTGAATGAATGAAAAGCCGCATTTTAGAACGCTGCTTTGAGTCTTTTTATTTAAAGTTTTTAGTGTTTTCGATCATTTCCGTCTCTACGACGTATACCGCTAGTTCTGAAAATCTCTAATATACAAAACATGAACTATCAATTTTTAGTACTGGAAATATACGGGGTGAGACGTACAACTTGCACACCTCACGAAATTTGTAATAAACAATAAATTGTATGAAAAACTATTATTTACAATAGTTACATGACTTCGAGCAGGCCACACAAAGTACAAAATTTTTTTTATAAGTGGAGGCGTTAAAAAAATTTCAAAGTCAATTTTATTTTTTAAAATAAAATTACATAAATCTTTTTACATAATATGATTACTCTAACTATTCTATATACAAAAATATTAAAATATAATAATAACGAGGCTCAATAAATTCAAAAAAGAACAGAACGAAAAAGGGCTACGAGCCTAAAAATTAGTCGTTATAAAATTGAAACTATTGAGAAGTCACAGAATAAAAACATATCATTTCGTTATAATATAAAATTTAATTTGCCGGCAATAAACAATAAAACATAAACAAAACAAACGTTTCGATTCCTGTTAAATCATTATCAATGTTACAATACAAAAGTAAAACGGTGAAGATATTAAAAATTAGAATATAAAAATTATAATTCGCTCTCAATCGTAAAACTTATTATAATAAGACTCACAGTATTTAACGTAATAAAAACACGCTCGGTATAACTTGAAACTTGTACAACGGTTATAGTCAGTAAAAATGTGAACTTCTGGACATAGTATGCAGATTAAAACGAAATTGTATCTGTTAAAACGTATATAAAAATATTTTTAAAAAATATATTAAAAATATTATATAAACAATACATAAAGCAAGAAAAAGTATAAAAACCAAATACAAAAGAAAAATATATATAATATTAAATAAGTAATCTAGGATTCTTAGAAATATAAACTGAATTAATAAAGAGTAATAATAAAAAAAAATAATAATAAATTAATGTGTGATGTCCAATAAC